TGGATCACAACTTAATTACTCTAACACGTAGGAATTTCATGGATAGAAAAAAGATTAGATAACTACACAATCAACCGAGTCATAACTCACACGGTGCACGCCCACATACCTGTCACCAAGCATGTGTGTTACCTCAACACCAACACATAACACGTATATTCAGGGGTTTATACCCTCAACACCAAGTTTAGAAGTGTTACTTACCTCGAATAAGCCGAATTCAATACCGAGCAAGTCAAACAATACTCTAAAAATGCCGTCCTGCATGTACCGACCTCCGAACGGCTCAAAACTAACCAAAAGCAACTCAAGAACATCAAATAATGCCAAAGGAAACAAACCCAATCGATAAAGGTAAAATCTTTAATCAAAAGCCCAAAGTCAACCAAAATGTCAAAACCAGGTCCGCACCTCGGAACCCAACAAAACTCACAAAATCTGATAACTCATTCAATTACGAGTTGATCCATACTAGTTTCACTCAAATCCGTCTCCAAATCGATATTCAAAACTCAAAAATTTACTCTATAAAATTTTAGACAAAACCCCCAAACTTCTCTTTGAAACTCATAATCCTAATGTCAAAAACGAAGATAGATTCACAGAATATAATCAAAATCGGGTAGAGAACACTTACCCCAATCCATGTGGTAAAAATCGCTTCAATCCGAGCTCCATAGTTCAAAATATGCTAAAATGGTCGAAACCTCCGAAAATAGAGTACTTATAACCACTAGACGAATCAAAGAATCGCGATCGCGAAGAAGAAAAATACACTGCCCCTGAATTACTCTATGCAATCGCAGCAAAAGCCTCACGAACGCGATACACAAGGCTGATAGAACAATGTGATCGCAGGAACGACGTCGCGAATGCGAAGATGAAACCAACATCCTGCCCAGCTCAGTCCAATCACTATGCGAACGCGTAGAAGCAGATACGAACGCGATGAATACCAGCCCTAACTCTATGCGAGCGCGTTCATCCTCACGCGAACGCGAAGAACAAATTCACAGCAGACCAAAACACCCTTCGCGATTGCGACTGGACCTTCGCGATCACAAAGAACACCAGAAGCAACAGGTAACAGTAGAAAACCAGCAATACAAAACCATTCGAAATGATCCGAACTACGTTCGAAACTCACCTGAACCCCTCGGGACCCCGTCCGAACATACCAATAAGTCCCATAACATAACACAGACTTACTCGAGGCCTCAAATCACGCATAACAATATCAAAACTACGAATCACGCCTCAAAACAAACTTATAAACTTTTGAACTTTCAAAACTCGCACCGAACCATATCAAATTAAATCGGAATGAACTCAAATTTTTCACACAAGTCCCAAATGACATAACGAAACTATTCCAATTTCCGGAACTACAATTCGAACCCGATATCATTAAAGTCAACTCTCGGTCAAACTTATAAACATTCCAAACCTTTAAATTGCTAACTTTCGCCAAATAGTGCCGAAACCTTTTAGGAACTTCCAAATACAAATTCGGGCATATATCCAAGTCCAAAATCACCATCCGGACCTAACAGAATCATCAAAACTCTAATTCAAGGTCAAATACTCAAAAGTCAAATTTGGTCAACTCTTCCAACTTAAAGCATCCTAGTTGAGAATATTTCTCCCAAATCAATTCTGATTAACCTGAAAACCAAAACCGACGATTCACACGAGTTATAATACATCATACGAAGCTACTTGAGACTTCAAATAGCTGAACGGAATGTAAATGCGCAAAACGACCGGTCGGGTCGTTACAATATATTTTTNATATATATTGTCAAATTGGTAATATTTACTATATTTAATTATAAAACTAAAAGTATATATTTTATAAGAACATCACCGACTGCATGCTTGATAAAAAAAATTAATATTTATAAATATAAGCCATAACATTACTCAAATATTTTACGAAAAATAATCTATCAATTCTAACTAAAAAATGAATGGCATGCAATATGAATTAATAAGTCAATACTACTAAAACAAATAAAATAGAACCGAAATTATAACATAAATTTATAATCCAAAATAAAAAATTAACATAATACTCTTATGTAAATTACAACATAGCATAAAATAAATTTCAACATAATTTAAGTGAATATAGTTCAAAAGAAAAGAAAAACGTAAGTCTATAACCTCATTCAACAATGGGATCTACTTTAATGACATCACACATCATATGCCAAGTTTGTTAATGACTAATTATTTCTAATATTAGGATGTGTAGATTCAAAATTAAAATAATAGCACAATTATGCTAAATAAAAAAAATAAGAAAATAAAAAATATGAGAAATTACATGAAATCACAAGGTTGAAAAATGAGAATATTATTTAAATATTAAAAAGTAATCTATATTTTTAACATAGTTAAGTTTGCATATAACCTCATCCAATAACAACGTTCAACTTTAATGACATCACTCGTTGTAAGTCAAGGTTGTAGATGACTTATTCTTTCTAAGATTATGAGATATATTTTTTAAAAATAATTAAAATAATAACATAGATAGGTGTAATAAAAAATAAAGAAAAATAATTAAGAAAGAAATAAAATATGAGAAATTATGCAGAAACACGTGAACTAGAGAAAATGAGAAATAAAAAAAATAAAAGATAAATAATTTTAAAATAATAATATTTGAAAAAAGAATTAAAAAATTTAAAATAAAAATATAAAAAAATAAATTTAAAAGAAAAAAATAGAAAAAAAAAGAAATTAAAAAGAAAAGAAAAGAAATTCATAAAATAACATTATAATTACACCATGTAATTACCAACAATTCTCAGCCCCTTTGAGAATTGCAGAGTGTAATTATGCCCCCTCAATTACATGCTGACCAAGTAATTACTTGGTCAGACAAACATGCCAAAACTGTGTAAGTACACCCAATTACATCCAAATTCAATTACAGTGTGGCTTTCCAAACATGCCCTAAGGGATCCATTTTGAATATCAATTTGTGTATATTAAAAACAAATAATGATACTTGACAATTAATTGAATCGACTCTTATTTATCACCCCCTCCCCCCTCCCCTTCCTTAAATTAAGCAAAAAAATTAATTTCAAAATATTAACCATCAAATAGATGTACCCACAATACAAAATATATTAAAATCCATGAAGTAGAAGTAAATTATTGAAACAAAGAAATCAAGAAGAAAAATTCAAGAAAAAAATATATACAAAATCTAAAAGTTGCTAGATACAACGGGTATTAAACAAAAAATGCTTAAAATTTCAAGAAAAATCTCAATTCAAAAATAAGAAAATTAAAAACAATAGAAAAACTGAACACGTGTCAAAGCTAAATTAAAACAAAAATAACAACAAAAAAACTAGCAGAGTAAGCAAAACAAGGAATATAATATTTGATTTTCTACAACTAATAAATAAACTATTAGTTAAAACAATAGTTATATAAGAAAAAATTCTGATGTATATTTATTTGGGGATGAGTTAAACATAAATGGGAGAGGGGAGAGGGGAGGGGGAGGATTAATGAGAGGAGGTTCAATAAACCAAGTATCATTTGCGGTTTTAATATGCACAAAATGGGGTTCAAAATGAAAAATCGAGGTTTTAGGCCTTCTTGGCCTTTTAGGAGTAATTTTAGACCTTTTTTATTTTTATTTTTTAATTATTTTTAATGGCTTTGTTAGTTAAAAAGGAGAAAAGTGAATCTTTTTGAAATCACAGGGCAGGGCGAAGAAACTATCAAATATTAATGGCGGACAAAAGTCTTTTTTTTGTATATTCATAAATTAGATATTTATGAAATTCAAGCAATCTTTTATGTAATATAGATTTTCAGTAATCAAATCAAGCTTAAAAACACCTCATTGAAGTATTGAACTAATACGGTTCACTTAAATTTGACCTACTAGGTAAATTGGCCTATTAAATATATAAAATATTCTAAGGTACGTACGTAACTTTAACTCAATAAGGTTCAATTATTACTCTTCAGAGCTTCTTGTGATGTAAGGGAATTAATGTGTGTGAAATATAAAGAAAGTGATTTCTTGAAAAAATATTTTTTATGAGGAAATCATTTTTTGGTGTTTGATCATTAGAAAATATTTTTTATCAGATGAAAAAAAACTTCCTTCTTACCAAATTAAATGCACAAATTTTATATGATATGCAAGCTTGCTTCAGCCTAAACCAGAAAAGTGCTGGGGGCAACCAGAGCAAGGACAAGAAAAGTGGAAGGGAATCCAAATAACGATGTCGTTTTAAAGTTTAGTCAATATATATGAACTCTCAAAAATATAGGCTAGACATTTGTAAATTTGTCATAGAGCTGCACCATCACCCTCTATGCATTGCTTCCTTGAGGATAACAAATAGGGATGAAAAGTCTACATCTTGGAGNATTTTTGGATGTTATAACGAAATGCTGTTATAGAGAACATATATTATAACATAACATGAAAATTAGTTCCAGAAAAAGTTTGGCTTTTATAGTGAAGAATTGTTATATAGGTATGTTGTTATAGAGAGGTCTGACTATATATATATATATATATATATGCTTGGCCCAGAAAAGCTTGAGACTAACGACATCTTTAAGAGAAACATGGATGATAGAGACTTCACAACTAAAAAAAGAACCTTTAGCTTTGCTGGCATGTCCAACCAACCACCACATCCATCAATCATCTTCCCTATTGTTATTTTAAAGAAAATAGGCGATAACAGTTATTGTCGTGTAACCAGAATATCACAGTCAAAATGATCTTTTGCAATAATGCAAAGTAAGATTACATACAATAGATCCAATACGATTCAGCCCTTCCATAGACTTCATGTATAGTGGGAGCTTAGCGCATTAGGCTGTGCTTTCTTACACCCAAAATAACCTGTCAGCTTGTATAAAATATATTCATTGTTTTATCAGTTATCCCAAATGAAAAACTCAATGATTTTAGAGATGCAAAGAGAACACAAAGCAAACAGCTGATATGTAGAAATCCATATCACCAAATCATAACATTAGTTACTGTACATAAACTTGCAGACTTAATTTGTTGAGTTTTGAGTAAGCTCACTTTGTTCCTTTCAAGTGCTACAAACTATAGGAAGTGTAAAATTAACATTCTTAATCAGTGTTTTGAACAATAACAAAATAGAGAAACTGTGTATGCTGAAAAATGTAAGGAAAAGGATATCCTTGAACCTTCTTGTAACCAAAATATCCACCAACCCAAAATATACAATTTTCAGATGGTATCATGTATCTGCACTTTGCAACTGCCAGAAGAAAAAATTTGCCGATATAAACTGCTGATTAGCAAAAGCACAACAAAAACTGCCATTTACACTTCTGAACAATGCCGTGGCATATAAACATTCAATTACTATCTCGAATCTAGATGATCTTTCCTTGGGGAACAAAAGATAGAGAATTTAGAATCCCTCCCAAAACAATTAGTTCTAGGTCCGTACTCTGGTTCATCATCATCACTGTCGATAATACTTGCATTCGTCCGATTCTGGTGACCTCTGCGCCGTAAAAGAAAGACATTAAAGTGGTAGCTGACCAAAGATTCCCTACTTTTGTTAGGAAAGATCTTGAATATTTCATTCCAAAAACTCATGTTTGTCGACAAAGGGTTCAATTTCACTATATCCTGGAATTTCTTTTCTTCTTCTTTCGTCCAAGAAAGTGCAACTTCTTCGCCCATCAAGTCAAATTTCCAATGATAAAAGGCTGATCCCAACTCAAGTTTAACCTTCCTCCGTTTCTCAGCAAGATGAAACTTGATGCAGTCATAAGAACCCGGGTATTGGCAGCCACATGTATCTTGCCTTCCTTTTCCAATAGGATCTCTTTCGATTAGTATTCTGTTTTTTTCTAGTTTGTCTAGTGGCCAGATTCGGGTGCCCAACCATTTGGAGTCACTTTCACACTTCTCCTGCCTCCATTCAGGAATATCTGCTTGAAACTGTGGTCCAACTGGTATTCGCTTTCGCCGCTGGTTCCACAAAAGACCAACGCCTGACTCTGTAGAAGAATCAGCAGGTCCATCAATTGGATCCTCATCACTTGGAGAACTTGAGGATGATGACCCTGAAAAAAGCGCTTTCTTTACAGGATTTTTAGCAACTAGGACCCGCTGGCTGCATCTCACTCTCTCAAGAGCAGCAGCATCGTCATACATAGATGGATGCATCTTCTGTTTTTTCTACAAGGCAAGGAAAAATTCTGATTTAATCAAAGCTTCGACAGGAGTAAATACTTCATAAAGCTTGAATATCCGTGCAAATGATTGGCTACACATATCTGAATGCAAGCGTGATGAAGAAAGGTAAGGGTTCAAATGAGACGATGCACCGGACTTCAACTCTGTAAACTATGTGAAGATGATCCAAATACAGAATAAATGAATGAATGCATCCAGGTCACTGACATAGGCACTTGCCTCCGGAAAATGCATTCAACATGGAGCTCTAGATACATATTCTTTACAAGTTGGACATGTAGAAGACTGGAAGTGCATTATTAAGAAATTCGAAACATGCTACACAATTGTAAATGGAAATATAAAATCAGCATTTTTGGACAGAACAGTATCCTTCAACAAATTAAAATGAAGTGATTTGTCGATCTACCCGGCAAAACTTAAGGGATTCAAGGAGAAGATAAAAGATGCTAAGCCTGTTCCAACATGATAATATAGGTAACACATAATCAAGATAAACATCTTAACTAGGAAATACACAGCCTGCAAATGCTGAACCTGCCCTACTGTATTTAGTTATCAAGTGCCAATTCCCCAGCAAAACACAGTCTTTGTGTGGTCATTCGAAATAGTAATGCAGTGAACAATTTGGAAAATTAAACTCAGCCATCCAAATTATTACACCATTTTGTATGCGCTTANTGCGTATCAATATCATAATATATCATAATTTGCACCTCAAGTGCCCAAATATTTCAACTTGCCAAAATAGATCAACAACAACATTGTTTTCCACAATAAGGACCTCACGACTCAATCAAAATGAACATAAAATCTCAAAAAATATTCGGGAGTGAATAACTCAACAAAAATAATATTTCACAAAGTTAACACATTGCCTCAATACCAAATTTTTAATGTCAAATTGCTCTAGTGGTGAGCACCCTCCACTTCCAACCAAGAGGTTGTGAGTTCGAGTCACCCCAAGAGCAAGGTGGGGAGTTCTTGGAGGGAGGGAGCCGAGGGTCTATTGGAAACAGCCTCTCTACCCCAGAGTAGGGGTAAGGTCTGCGTACACACTACCCTCCCTAGACCCCACTAGTGGGATTATACTGGGTTGTTGTTGTTGTTGTTGTTTGTATGCGCTTATCAGCATAACATTAGCAAAAATATGGAACTTACTTAAGTACCAAAATTTCTGCATTTTTGTGCATACCATTTAAAATTATGTCATTTGCAATTCTTTCACAGTAATCACCATAATTTTTTTTTTCCCAAAAAAAGAATAAACTCTACACTTATGATTACATCATAGTTCATCGCACTAGCCACAGATCTCAATAAGCATTCAAAAAATTAAATGGTCAGAATGCGGAACCAAACTTATCCAATAACTGCAGTTCAACTGATATTTTTCAGTGAGATAGGTTATTTATTTACAACTATAAGTCGACATACCACGTTAAGATCAATCAATGTTCTAGAAAATATGATTAACATTACCCATTAAAAAAGAGAACCAAGAACCAGTGAATTTGTCAAGATCCATTAAATAAACATTAAGAAAAGATCCAAAAAACATGAATCAATCATATCTCAACATCAATATAATTGGGTGGGGGAATATGGTCCTTCTCCACCCCTTCCCCCAACCACTCCAAGATCACTTTATTTTATCTCCTTTTGAGGACTTTCATGGTTTCTACTAGGAGAGAGAATTCCATCGTATCTAATTTAGGCAAACACTTTTGCTTCATATCTTATTCTTTCTGGCTTCAACTATCTAACTAAATATGACTACAACAACAACAACAACATACCCAGTATTATCCCACATCGTGGGGTCTGGGGAGGGTAGTGTGTACGCAGACCTTACCCTTACCTTGTGAGGATAGAGAGGTTGTTTCCAATAGACCCCCGGCTTAGGAAAACATAAGCACCACATTAATGAAAATATAAACAAGAAGGGACAGTACCAAAATGCCATATAAAAACAACAAGATAGTAAGGTGATCAGCAATGAAAGAAAACAACGGTTAGTCATAAAAACCTACTACCAACAGAAAGCGAGACTGCGTGCCAATACTACTGTTATGAACACTCTACACTACCTACTCTACTACCCTAACCCTCGACCTCCATACCTTCCTATCAAGGGTCATGTCCTCGGTCAGCTGCAGTTGCGTCATGTCTTGCATAATCACCTCTCCCCACCTCTTCTTTGGCCTACCTCTACCTCTCCGTAGGCCCTCCAATGTGTTGCAACCTCTCACACCTCCTCACCGGGGCGTCTGTGCTCCTCCTCTCACATGTCCAAAACACCTAAGCCGCGCTTCCCGAATCTTGTCCTCAATAGGGGTCACACCCACCTTGTCGCGAATAACCTCATTTCTGATCCTATCTAACCTGGTGTGCCCGCATATCCATCTCAGCATCCTCATATCTGTTACCTTCATCTTTTGAACATGGGCGATCTTGACTGGCCAACACTCAACCTCATATAACATCGTTGGTCAGACCACCACTCTGCAGAACTTACCCTTAAGTTTCGGTGACACCTTCTTGTCACACAAAACACCGGAAGCGAGTTTCTATTTCATCCATCCCACCCCAATATGATGTGTGACATTTTCATCAATCTCCCCATTCCCCTAAATAATAGACCCAAGGTACTTAAAACTCCCTCTCCTAGGGATGACCTGCGAGTCCAGCCTCACCTCCCCTTCCCCTCCTTGAGTCTCGCCACTGAACTTACACTCCAAGTATTCTGTCTTGGTCCTGTTCAACTTGAAACCTTTAGATTCCAGGGTCTGCCTCCATATCTTTAATTGCGCATTCACACTGTCTCGCGTCTCGTCAAACAATACAATATCATCCGCAAATAGCATGCACCATGGCACCTCCCATTGGATGTGGCGCGTCAGTACGTCCATCACCAGAGCAAACAAAAAAAGGTTTGAGTGCCGACCCCTGATGCAACCCCATCATAACCGGAAAATGGTCCGAGTCCCCACCCACCGTCCTCACTCGGGTCTTTACTCCGTCATACATGTCCTTAATCAACATAACATAGGCAACAGGTACACCTCTAGCCTCCAAACATCTCCACAAAACCTTCCTCAGAACTTTATCGTATGCCTTTTCTAAGTCGATGAACACCATATGCAAGTCTTCTTTCTCTCCCTATACTGCTCCATCAATCTCCTAACAAGGTGGATAGCTTCTGTAGTCGAACGCCCTGGTATAAACCCAAACTGGTTCTCGGAAATAGACACACTCCTCCTCATCCTTAGCTCTACCACTATCTCCCAGACTTTCATAGTATGACTAAGCAGCTTGATACCCCGATAGTTATTGCAATTTTGGATATCACCCTTGTTCTTGTATACAGGAACCATCGTGCTCCACCTCCACTCTTCGGGCATCTTATTCGTTCTAAAAATGACATTAAATAACCTAGTGAGCCACTCCAAGCCTGCCTTGCCCGCACTCTTCCAAAACTCCACCGGGATTTCATCCGGCCCGGTCGCTTTGTCCCTGCTCATCTTACGCATAGTCCCCTCAACTTCATCAACTCTAATCCACCTATAATACCCAAAGTCACAACGACTCCCGGAGAGTTCCAAATCATCCAGTACAATGCTCCTACTCCCCTCATCGTTCAAGAGACTATGGAAGTAGGTCTGCTATCTCCTACGGATAAGCCCCTTATCCAACAAAACTCTACCTTCTTCGTCCTTGATGCACTTTACTTGGTCCAAGTCCCGCGCCTTGGCTAACCTGAGCAACCTCTTATCCCCCACCTCGACCCTCGAGTTCCTCATACAAACGACTAAAAACTGCAGTCTGGGTTGTCGTAACTGCAAGCTTTGCCTCTTTCTTAGCCAACTTATAATGCTCCCTATTCGTCCTCTTCTCCTCTTCGTCTACATTATCTAATAGCTTCAGATATGCTACTTTCTTGGTTTCTACTTTTCCTTGCACCTCTCCATTCCACCACCAGTCTCCCTTGTGCCTACCAGAGTAACCCTTTGAGACCCCTAATACCTCTCTCGCGGCTTCCCTAAAGCACTACGCAGTCGTGGTCCACATAGCGCTTGCGTCCCCACTACTCCTCCAAGCCCCTATAGTCACCAGTTTGACCCTCAACTCCTGCGCTTTAGCTTACGTCAAGGCTCCCCACTTGATCCTATGTTGGCTATACATCGCCCTCTTCCTCCTCTTCCTCGTGATCTCAAGGTCCATGACCAGGAGCCTATGAAAGGTTGAGAGGTTCTCACTCGGGATGACCTTGCAATCCGTACAAAGACCTCTATCGGACTTCCTGCAGAGTAAATAATTAATCTGAGTCTCGGCCACCGAACTCCGGAAGGTGACCAAGTGAGACTAATACGAAATTCTTTCACTATTTATAGTTATATCACATAGTACTGTTTTAGATCATTTATTTTGCCTTAGAGGGAAGTTACAATGTGTCCTAAAAATACAATCAAGCTCTACTCTACAATTCAAACTAGGGTGCATATTTCATTTTTAATATTTAAATTAAAGACTGATTAACTACAGTTTACTAAAGCGTTCTGCTTCTTTAAAATATTGTAGGACCTTGATGTCTATTTCCGAATCTTAAGGGCCCCCGTGTGTGTTTGGGGGGGGAGCTAAACTGAATCATTTTTCTTTTCTCAACTCAAAATTAGTACTTGACTCTAAACAGCGAACTGTATCCCATAAAATGGATTGATTAAATTTACAAGTTTTGTGAATTCAAAGTTACTAAACAATTCAGAGTGAGAGTACATGTCAACCTATTCAATAGCTCCTTGATCACACTCCAGATATGTCACATGAGACAAAATAAAATAAGTCAACTTATTCATTTTCTTTTTGTTTCAGACTTAAAACTTGCTTATGTTACTCATAATTTTGCACAGCGTACAAGATTCTGGGAATGTGCAGAAAACCGGTGAGTGTGATTTGAGTGTCCATCTATTGATATTACTCATGATGTAAGGGTGTTGAATTGGTTGAGCTGCTAAGTTCCACATTGCTTATTTGGTTGGAGACTTACATTTACCGGTCTACTGAATTCACCACAAACAACTGGCAGTAAGTAACTCAATATAAATCAGCAAAGAAAATAAAATGCTTGAAAATGCTTCAATTGGTTTATCTAGCTTGAAACTTGAAAGGGGTATAATAATACCTACTAGAAAAGAGATAAAATTTAAATTAGCTAAATGCCCTTAACCATTACAGCAAAGGCCAAAGATTAGCATGTATTTTCTTACTTGAGTCACTAGGAGTTCATATCTCGTGTAAATTAATACTTGGATAATAACCCCCTTTAAGCCCATATACCTTTAAATCAGTGTTTTAAAAGGTAAAGTTGGGACTCACATCAAGACTCGCCCTAGGTGACTAGGTGAGGCAATCTATAAACACCAAGAAGCGACTATGGGAGTTGAAACTAACACCTCAATAGGTGGGATATTTGTCCCATGCGTGCTTTATACCTCCTACCATCCGCCACATACACCCCAAGAAAGCGGTGTGCATACTTTATCCCTTAAATTATTTTCCTTTTACACCCTAGAGCATTTTTGTTTTATTTATTATTTTTTAATATATGTGACTATAAATTACTTCCCCCCCCCCCCCCCCCTTCCAGTTTATGTGGCAACTTAAGAATGTCAACTTTATAAAATCCCCACTTTACCCTTATATTACGGCATGTTTTAAGACCACAAGTTTCCAAAATCTTCCTTTTTTCTTAAACTCTATGCCAAGTCAAATAATACCACATAAATTGAAATGGAGGGACTATATAATATGTTGTTTTATAACAAATAATTTGGATATGTTGAACATTATTTTGCCTAGATAGCATATCAATTTTTGCACATTTTTGCTTTTGAGTTTTATATAACTCTTATTGGATTTTCTTTAGTTTTAATAATTTAATCTATTTTATTTTAAAATACTAAGATAAATTCCTGCTGCTAATACCCTGCCCCATGATAAGTGACATGTTGGTTCCACCATTTTTGTTTTTATAACCGAGAAATTCCAGAGGGCCAGTGGCACACTGTGCGAAAGTCGGCGGATAATAGGCCCGCCCCTACCAGTTTTCACTTAAATAACAAGTGTTTGTTAGCACCTAACCCATCCATCGCGCGTTGTGCTCTTACCACTAGACCAAAGCCCTAAGGGTTCCTGCACCTCGGTATTTTAAAATACTGATTTATTCACTTGCGTACATTAACCAAATTGTTTTCCCATTAAGGACCAAACTGTTTTACATTTTCTTCAGAGCCTAGATGATCCAACCGTTGGCGACCTGCAATATTATTGACCTATCTTATTTTCATCATTTGACCCTCAAGGATAATTAGCATTTTGATCATCTTTGTCTTATATAAAGTACAAGATCCAAGCACTGATCTTCTCTGTTCTCTTCAATTTGGCACGTCAAGTCCATGGTGGAGCCACCTTACTCTTTGCCAGAAAATTATACTATGCAGCTTGGTCAAAAATTTATTTTTAAGTATATATACTATATGTTGAATCCCTTAGCTGCTTCGTGTGTTAGCTTATTTATATTTCGACACTCCTTAGTGAAATTCCTGGCTCCGCCACTGCGTTCGGTATGCTACTTCATGGAAAATTAAACTCTAAGAACCTGCCAAAATTAGGAAGACATCGAAGCTCCATGTCTAACAATATTTTAATCTGGTGGAGCACTGGGCTCATACAGTTAAACATCTTTTGGAACTGTTATGAGTAAAAATGTATTGTCTAATACTCTAATGTGAAACTATGTTTTGCTCACAGTCCTCAGCTAATGCATTCTCATTGTGCTTTAAGCAAATAAAACAACTTCCCCTGTTCATGTAAAGCATCCACAAATTTGAGTTGTAATGCATGCAAATGCCACTCATAACAATGTCTTCCTTGCTCAATCTTTCGAGACGAAGTATCATGAACAATAGCAGAAAAGTTATCCAAGCTGAAAGTTAAAATCTACGTGGCGATAAAAATGTTACTAAAACAGAAAGTCTGCATTCTCATATCATTCAGAAAGCAGTTCAACATTTTGATATTTGAAAGAATATACTAAGCACAATGAGATAGATGACAAGTATAAATGAAGATACATTATATGATGCATCACATGTTAAGCATTCAAGCCCAAAAAAGGGAAAAAGTAATTTACCTGCCATATCGAGCACTGAGCACTTGTATCTGCACTCTTTTTCAAAAGCATTTCATCTCGCAGCAACAGAACCTGCTTCCAGATTACATCATTCCCGTAAAACTTCCACTTAGACCTTTCTGGCAAAGACCCGATGGCAGGATCACAAGGATCTTTCGCGACATTAGTAACCCACCTCAGCAAGTCCGTGTAAGACTCTCGTTTCCTCTTCCTATTGTTCTCATCTTCCCTAACCACACTTGACTTCATTAGCGCAATTTCATCTGTGCCACAATCATCACTTCGTCTTCCACTAACAAACTCCAAATGTTTGTCATCGCGACCAACACTGCTCTTTTCATCAACACCCTCAACTATACATTCATTGAGGTCCAGATTTATCGTTCCATCAATTTTCTTAGAGTGTCTATCAATGAAAACAAAATCATCAGCCTCAATACCATTACACAGCTGTTCATCAGCTGCAGCATGAAACTCACTTTTCGCCGAATCAACATTTGCACATTCCTCATCTTTGTTGTTTTCATTTGAAATTTTCATTAAAATCTCCCTCAAATCCAGCTCAAGCTCCATTTGAACCCCACCCAAAAGCCAATCACACTTCCTCACTTCACTCTTTGTATTATTGCCTTAGCACAGTTCACTCGTTCTGATCAAGAGGGTTGTCACCAGTACGGATGTACATGTACAATATAGGTTGGGCCGAACCCTATAATTTTGGTCCAGACCCTGTATATGTGTTAAGAAATCCACCAAATATGTACAAATATTAAATTCCGACCCCAATTATTAGCACTTGTGGTCGTTGTTCTAGAATCCCAAACTCATAAAGTTCAAATCCTGAATCCGCCTATGGTTGCCACCACTTGTTAAGGTTATCTGGCGAATCATACACTTCTTGCATTCTTTCCATTAGTGAAGCCCAAGCATGCCTCTAAACAATGCATCTAAATGCTTAACGCACACCAATTTCACAACAAAGCCCGAACCTGACTCCGAAACCACACTGTAAACAGCAGCACCCGAAGACCCAGTTTGGTTCAGAACCTGTATATTGAGTTTAAAAAATCCACTTAATTAGTATAAAAGAAGATTCTGAACCCAGTAACCCAAATGGGTTATGGTAGAATTTCGAACTCAAACCGACAAAGTTGAAATCTTGGTCCACCTCTACTTTTGGAAACCCTTTGATATACACTTTTCTCCCTCCCAACCAAGTATATTGTTTGGAAATTCTATTATCAGTTTCAAATTTTCTATCGTCATTCTCAGTCTTCAAAATATGTTTTAGAGGATTAAAGCAAGGTTCATGGTTCAAAGATTTTTTTGGGCGTTCTTAAGCTTTTTAGACATGACCCATCAGCTTTCTTCGACAATCCTGCCATTGACTTGAGGTCGTTGTCCTAGAATTCCGAACTCATAAAGTTCAAATCCTCAATAGCCTATAATTGCCACCACCCGTTAAGGTTATCGGTTGAATCATCATGCACTTCTTGCATTCTTTCAATTAGCAAAGTCCGAGCATCCCTCTAAACAATGCATCTAAATAATCAGTAGCACACCAATTTCACAACCAAGTTAGAACCTGACTCCAAACCACACTGTTAACAGCAGCACCCCAAGACCCGCTCGGGGGCGGACCTAGTGCATTAGTTATGGGTTCGTTTGAGTCCTGTAATTTTGGTTCAGACCTTGTATATGTGTTAAAAATATCCACTTAATTAGTATAACAAAATAGATTCCCAACCCAATAAATCAAATAGGATTTGGTAGAGTTCCGAACTCAAACCCACAAAGTTAAAATCATGTATTTGCGTATGCTTTCGGAAACCCTATGGTAGACACTTTTCTTCCTCACAACCAAGTACTTTTTTGGAAAAATCAACTGTTTTCCAATTGAGTGAGAACTTGTATTAACAGTTTCAAATTACTATTATCATTTTCAGTCCTCAAAATCTGTTTTATAGGATTAAAGCAAGGTTCATGCGGGCGTTCTTAAGCTTTTTAGACATGACCCATCAACTTCCTTGGACAATCCTGCCATTAAAAACCGATGTAGAATTTTCTACATATACTAACCTAGAAAACACATACAAACACGCACAAAAAAAAGTAATTTTTAGAATTAATTTAAGACCATTTGTTATAGGTTGTAACAATCCACAAGTCTGCTATTACGAGGAAAAAATGGATGGCTTTGAGTTATTCCTCAGGCCATTAAAGCCAAAGGACATTAGAGGGTCTATTAATTTTTGGCGTGACGACATTAATTTTTATGTACTAAGAGAAAACTATGAATTAGACAATATTTGCTTCTTTCTTGATAGAGACAAAGACATAGGTCAAGGGTATGTTTGAAATTTTTTAAACAGAAGCAGTCCCATAGGTAGATAATGAAATTGTGAAAAGAAATTGGGGATATAGGGAAAAAAGAGAGATGTAGCAGTAAAATACCTTATTGGAAGGACAGGGTAGGGGTGTTGTGGTGTGACATATCTTCTTTCTTTTCTTACCCCTTTGGTTTTCTGAGCCCTCTTTTTATTCAATAGAAAGTTTTTGTTGTTTGGCTTATGAGAGAAAGGGTTGCGGGAGATCTAAGATTTGCACTAAATAGAAAGTTGGAAAATGAGTTGTATAGAGACCCAAAAGAACTATTTCTTTATAATTTATAGTTGGAATTATTGGTTAACTATAGTTTATTTGTTGGAGTTTTGAGTTGAGGAGCTTTGACTATGGTTGGGTGAAGGGTAGTTGGGTCCTTTTTATAATATTAAGGGGAGAAGTTTATGGAATGCGACTCTCATTGAAGTTATATCCGCATAGTACGAAAATTTATCCATTGAGATCTGAAGTTTTTCTATCTCTTCAAGGCAACTTCAGAATCGGATGTGAAGTTCTTCTATCTTTCCTATGCAACTTAAGAAATCCGATTTTAATTAGCTATATTTCTTCAATGCAACTTCAGAATCAGATCTTAAGTTCTGAAACATACACTTGTTCTTTATATTTTAACTATCCAACATACGATTTAACGTTTAAATCTACTCCAAATGAGTTCAAACTTGAAATATAACTTTTAAATATCACAGAGAATTAACTTCAATCATCAAATTATCAAAACAACAATAAATCTATTCAACTCATTTTGCAACCAAGAAGAAGAAGAGAAGAAGAAGAAATCCTAAACACAACCTAAAATGGTATTTTGCAACTAGAAGAAGAAGAAATCAAATGGCTTCAGGATACATGGGACATGAAAACAAAGAAGAAGAAAGTAGCAGGGAAGAAGAAGAGAAAAGTGTATCTGAAGTTACCCAAAAGTTAAAAATTAGTTAAACTTTTTTTAAAAAGAAAAAGTAGGTACATGTTAAAAGGGGGTGACCAAATAGGGCGTCACTTAAAATTTTTACAAGAAGAAGCTATCTTAGTTCGAATGTATATTTGATTATTAAGATATTGCGTTTAAATTTGACTACTGGACAATTAAGATTATTTGTTTTATCAGTATTTGAATGCGTGCAGTTTACTTTATTCATAATTAGAAGATTCAAATTCAAATAGAATAATAATAAAATATTTTATCCATAAAATATTAGAAAAAATCTTAATTTACATGGTATTTTTGAGATTAATTTGTTTGATGAAACACACTCTAAAAGCTAGTGATTGCGATAATGGTCGATTTTGATGGTTGTGAAGCCGTGGCCTGGTGGCTGGTGTTTTTCGTGGTTGTTTGAGGTGGCTAGCGGTGGTGATATTCAAGGTGGTTGGAAGTAGTAGTAGTAGTAGTGTAGCGATGGCTTCGCAGTGAATGTAATTATTCAATATGACTAGCAGTGGTAATTGCATGGATGAAGCTAGTAATGTTGGTGATTAGTAATAGTGGTTGATGGTGGGTGTTGTGGAGATAGGTTAGGGGGTGATTGTATAGTGGAGATTGGTTGTTAGCGGGAGTATGTGTGATGGAGACTCGTCGTAATGATTGTCAAATGATTATAGACAGAGGAATGATAAAAGATTACATTCACATAAATTTTTAAGTGAAATCATCTTAATTATTTTGATAATTTATACAACATCTCATTAATTTAGAGCAATTAAGTAATTGCAAAAGGAAATAAATGGGTCAAACGGTAAATAATACATTCAAACATCCAATAAGTGAAAACAAACATAGCCTTAGTGCAAGAGCAAAAAATAAATAATTCTCAAGAGAATAGTTCCAATATTTGACCATAAAATCAAGAATTATAAGATCAAGTCATTGTCCTTCCAACCGAATCTTCCTAATTTTTTCTACTTCAGTTTATGTTTCAAAAATATTGGAGTAAAGCCGGAATAAAATGAAGGAATGATCAATCTTCTATCATTTCAGAGTCGACACCTCCTTTTCTGCCTTTCTATCTATACTTCTCATCCCAACAAATTATGGAACAAGCAACGGCTTTTGAGCGAAAAAGTTTTTTTGCTGGGTCTCGCTTGCATATTTCTAGGTTTATTACATACGTGATGACCCGATAGGTCATTTATAATTTTACCCTTTTATTCCTGTGTTTCGAGAACCCAATTAGCTCAGTTTAACCTTCCTCAATTTGTGTGCATTGTTCTTGTCCTTTTCCGAAAAGGTTTTCATGAGAAAATTAATGAAAATATGAAATCGTGCCTTAAAACTTATTTGAGTTGACTACGATCAATGTTTTGTATAAATAGATCCAAATTAGTATTTTGACAGTCCTGGTAGGCTCGTATTGTGATTTGGGACTTGGGCGTATGTCCGGAATCGAATTTGGAAATCCCTAACTTGATTTAACGTAAATTATTGAAAATTAGTAATTTAAATGTTTAAAGAATTCCTAAGTTTGACCGTAAGTTGACTTTGTTCCTACCGGGTTTGAATTTGGGTTTCGAAACTTGGTATAGGTTCATTTTAGTATTTATGACTTGTCTGCAAAATTTGGTGCAAAACGGAGTTGATTTGACATGATTCGGACGCCCGGTTGAAAAATTGAAAGTTCTTAAGTTTCTTTAAAAATTTTATTTGTTTTGGTATCCGGTTCGTGGTTCTAGGTATTATTTTGATATTTTGATCGCGCGAACGAATTCGTATGATATTATTACACTGGTGTGCCAATTTGGTTTGGAGCTCGAGGGGCTCGGGTGAGTTTCAGATAGGCTACAGATAATTTTGAACTTAGAAGTATAGTTGATGCCTTTACTATTGCTGGTGCTCTGCTGCAATTTGCGAGATCTGGCTTGCATTTGCGAACAAGGCTTCGCATTTGCGAGCATGGGCTAGATTGGGGGAGTATCACATTTGCAAAGTAAATGTTTGCATTTGCGAACTTGCAGCTGCCACTTTTGCAAAGGTAGAGTCGCATTTGCGATTCAGTGTGTCGTGGCTTACCTTCGCATATACGAAGGAATTGGTCCGCATTTGCGAGGGGTATGGGTTCACATTTGCGACCAGAACATCACATTTGCGATGATTGACTTTCTGAGAAGGGCTCGCATTTGCGAACAAGTTATCGCGATTGTGACATCCGCAGCTGGTAAAAGAGGGAAAAAAAAACAGGATTTAGCTCATTTCTTTCAAATTCTCAACCCTAAACTCCCTAGAGGCAATTTTTTCAAGAGATGTTTTTCCTAAATTCATTGGTAAGTGACTTTAATCTACTTCTTTTCAATTATCCATTACATTTCATAAGCTTTCAACATCAAATCTAGGATTTTCATGATAGAAATTAGGGATTTGGGAAGAATTGGGGGGGGGGGGGGGGGGGGGGAGGGGGATTTAAATTTTGGATTTAGACCTTAAATTGAGGTCGAATTTCGAAACTAATTACATACTCGGGCTCGAGGGTGAATGGATTTTGGTCCGAACCTCGGATTTTGACCAAGCGAGCCCGGACTTGACTTTTTTGAAAAAGTATAAAGATGTTAAATTTATGTATTGTAATTGATTTTCTTAGCATTATTTGATGTTATTGACTCGATTTTGGTTAGATTCGATTGGTTTGGAAGCAAATTTTAGAGGAAAGGCCCCAGTTGAGCTTTGATTTGCTTGCGGAGCGAGGTAAGTATTGTGTCTAACCTTGATTTGAGGGAATATGAATCCTTGAGCTATGTGTTATATGAATTACATGTGTAGCGGTGTATATGCGAGGTGGCGAGTGTATATACACCGTCAAAGTAATTGTTTCCATGCTTTCTTGTATTCCATTAATTATTTTATTTCATGCCCAATTGTTACATGCTTTAATTGCCTCTTATGCCTTAACTTGCTACCTGTCATTTATTATTCTCGTATTTTAAATGTTAGTTTCTTCCGTGCTTCCATGATTAATTGCTACTTACCTAATTGTCTTACTTGTACACTTTAACTGTCATATATTTGGCTTATCTTGTTGATTTGTATTAATTGTAACATTTCTTGATTTGGTACGAGATTCCTATATGGTTTTGCTTTCATATTCGTTAATGATCACGCCCAACTATGCCTTATAAAAAGGACTAAGTGGTCGTTGAAAATATAATCCGATTTACAAGTCCGGAGTCGAATCCCAGAGAGAACTAAGACTTAGCTACAACTGTTCAATATTGCTAAGAAATAGAAGTCCAAATAATTTCCTAATTATAGAGATTATAATAATTATTTCTAACTAATTAACTAACACTATTATAAAACAGTAAAATTATCAACTAACAAGGATAAAATTTGAGACAAGACTAAGGAGGTCTAGAGTTATGATTTTTTCAATTATCGAAATCCTTTCCTCTATATTGCCTATAAATTTGCCTAAGTTTTCTCTACCGATCATGAGCGCTCTGTGTGTCGTAATTCTCTCCCGAGTAACTACTACAATTTACTAGACATATTCTCCTGAATTACGCTAGCTGACATTAAGTACGGCTCATTCGGATCGCACTAAGGTTTCGTTATCCCTAATCCCACCTTTAAAACCCTTCGTATTGATCCCTCATATACGTTAGGAGTGATGTTGTTCAACAATTACCTAAATATGCACTCTCTCCCGAGTAATACACACTAAATAGGAATAGTCGATTGAGGGCCCTTCAATCAACAACAATAATAATATAATTGAACAAATAGAGAAAATACTACGGCAAATCTATATTAACGTAACAAGAAAATCATCCTCCAATAGGTTCCTTCAAAACCCTAGATAACAAATTAGCTATTCATAATAGTATGCAAAACTATAATACTAGAATTCATAACCAATAATGAAAATAGGAAGAAGGAAGTGAAAAACTCGTAGAAGAATTCCCCGCCTTACTCCTAGTGTGTTCTTGCCTCCTTAGGTCAAATTCCCGGTCTCTCCTGTCTAATCCCGGTCTCTCTCCATAAAATTAGTGTTTAATGACTATTTATATGTGTAGGGCAAAGACCTAGACGAAATAACTAAGTCCAAAACCAAATAGGAGACAAAATAGGCCTGAAACCCGGAACATCCTCGCGACAGACCACGCGTCGCGAGATAAAACGCATGGTATCTCTCGCTGAAACCCTCGCGCCGCGCGCCCAAACGCGAGCATAGTTGCTAGCGTCGCCTTCTTCATTGCTTCGTTTTGAATTTTGATTTCTTCTGCCTACTTT